TCTTAAACTATAGTATATATAAGTAATTTCCAGTTACCATTCTTTGATCATGGAAATTGTAAAGGTATTCCTTTTGCATATTACAATTTACATAGACATTTTGCTTTGTTGCAGAGAACATGCACAGTAAAAGACATTTTCCCCTTGGATCTGGTCCCATTCAAACATTTGCTATCTTCTGTATTTGTTTGTTTGGTTTTTTTCTTTTATGCAGTTTAAACAAAAGCTTTGGAAAATAAAAATGTTATCTTTTCAATGTGTAAAATTCAAACACATCAAGCATAAAGTAAAAATCAGTCCAATCTCACCATTTGGAAATAACTGCTATGAACACTTGGGTGAACATCATCCTAGGTATCTCTTTGGACATGTATATATATAAGGAAGGAAAAATACAAATTTGATGTAAGTAGGATTTACTGTTCTATACCCAGGCTTTTCTCCTCCATATATACCCATGAATATTTCAGTCTACAGTACATCTACATCATCTTTTTTAATGACTGCATAGCACCCCATTGCATGGATGAACCATAATTTATTTGGTCATTCTCTTACCAAGCCGTTTCAGATTCAGATTCTGGTGAATATTTCCCAATCACTATTAATATAAAGTTACATTCTTATTCATCCATGTTGGTACACTCATCCTATTGTTCTCTCAAGATAAATTCCTAAAAGCAGAATTGTTAGCTAAAAAGTATGTATATCTTACACCTTGATACACATTACCACACAGCCAAACTATTTCACATACCCACTAACTGTGCCTTTCTTAGACTTTCTGCTGGACTTACAGTCTGTCCCCTCTCCTCTCGCTGGCTTCAGCTCGCTCCACGGGTTTACTTCCATAAGCTTTCTTCATCTCTCCTCTGACTACACTGCTTACACCTCAAGCACTTCTCTTTCAGATGTCTTCCCTTCCCCTTTCCCAATTTCTTTTTTCTAATCATCTCTAATAAGTCTGACTCACAACTCAAATTCCATGGAACAAAATTCTCACAGTTGCCCAAAAAGGTATACAGAAGTAAAATTGCCTTAAAATAATCTTGGAGAGAGATGGAACATCAAAGGGGTGGGCAGGGAACAAAGTCACTATCTACGCCAGTCATATGACAAAAACTGATGTTTTGAGATAAATTAATCTTTAGGCCTACTGTATAACTTTTGTGCATAAATATTTCTACAGGAGGTTGCATTCTAAAAGGTCTTTCATTCAGTTATGAAAGTGTGTACTTACTATGTACATATATTGTATGCCACATTTTGGGAAGACAGAGATGAAGAAGATAAGATTCTTTTCACTAAGAAGCTCCCGTTCTAGCAGGAGAGATGGAGGTATAAAATACTTTTCAGATAAGTATACATACTCTGATTGAGGGTAATAAGTGTTGTGATAAAGGCATGCCCTGAGTGCTATTGAAGCAGACTGGGTTAGCTCAGCCTGGGCAGAAGCAAAGATAGCTTCAAAGGAGAGATGGCATTTAAGTGTGGCCTTGAAGGATGAATGATTTGCTGGGTGAATAAAGGACACTGCAGGCAAAGCAATTAAGGAGGTACACCATGGCAAACCTTAGCAGATGTGAGTTTAGGAAACTGGCAGGAGATGAGGCTGAAAAGGTAAACTGAGGCCAGGCTGAGATGGAGTTATCCTTTGATCCTAAGAGATTCAGACTTTAGACCAGCAATGAAGAGTTCTCAGGGGTTTTTTGCTTGTTTTGTTTTTGTTTTTTTTAAGTAGGGAAGCATCATAATCAGACCTGAATTCTAGAAAGACAGTTGTAGGGAAGAAGACAGACTAAGGTGGAAACTAATTACAAGGGACTGTAAAGACTCGTACCCAGACCATGAAAAAAGCTGGAGGCATCCAAGAAACGGGATTTACTGACTCAGTGAACATAGATGCTGAAGGCAGTGGCAAGGACCAAAAGAACTTAAATGCTTATACTTAGGTAGTGCCTGGATGGTGATGTCATTAATGGAGATAGAGTATATATATGGGGGAGCAGAAGATGTGGAGAAAAATATTCACTTCCATGTTGAACCTGTTGAACTTAAGGGACCTGTGAGACATCAGGAAAAGATGCCTAACAGAGAGTGGGCATTAAGGCCTGGTGTTGGGTTATAGGGGATATTCTGCTGATTTTTTTTTAAAAATTGTATAGATTTGGCAGTCATTTGAGGTGGGTAAACATGATTGCTGACAACCAGGAGAGGAAACAGGGATGAGGGCTTAGAACAGAATCTTAGGGAACACTATATTTATACACCTAGAAGTAGAAGAAAAGCCTAGTGAAAGTCTGGGAAAATCAGAGAAACAGGGCGCAAGCCAGGAGAGACTGGCTCATAAAAGGAACACGAGTGTAAAAGAGAGAATATGCCTCCTTCTTTGCCTGCCCCATACTTTTCCTTCCCATACTCACTGTGCAACATAAGACTCTTATGTAAAAGCTTTGGGAGCTGGAACAAAGATTCTAATAAAGTGGGAGGTGGGAGTGAGATTAAACAGAAAGTTCCTGGGACCCAGGGATTCTGCACTGTGATCTGGGATTTATTGATAGTGTTAATACCAGGAATAGTTCCATCCCTAAAGGGCTTGTTATCTTCTCTCTATGTTCCAAGAGATTAATATGCCCTTTCCCCTTCCAATGTCACTATTCATAGTTTTAATCCATCCCTTAGCTCATGACGGAGGAGAACAAGTATGGCCAAGCCTCGGGCCTTGAGCCCTTATGCCCTTCTTACACGGTTAAGAAGTCTCTTCTTCCCACTTTCCAGGAGGGAAGTGTACACACAGATGCTGATGATAAATTCTGGCACAAAGACTTAGAGTGGATTAATTTACATCAATCTAAAGGGGTGAAAAGGAGAAAGAAAGAGGAGAGAGGACTCAATAAATTTACCCTTCATTTTCAACCCTGAGGGATGGAGAGTAGGTGGTACAGGACAACTTGTCTGCAATGTACAACTATTAATGAATAGTCCATTAAGGGGCCTTTCCCCATCACCAGACTTCTTCCTGATGATATATTTTCCCTCTCTCTTCTAATCAGAAGATCCCCCACTTCTAGTCAGAAGATAACCCTCTTTTGGGGTGTAGTTGGAAGCATTACTACAGCTTTTTCTGAAAGAGCTTTTTTCAAGATTGTCTGAACCATCATTTGTCAAAATCATAAGTGAGAAAAATGATGAATACATTATTTCTATAATCTGCCAAGAGATTCTGTACACATGCATACATATATGTGTGTGCATATGATACACGTGTGTGCATGTGTGTGTTCTGGCTCTTCCTCTACCTTGACTATCTGCCCAGATCCTCTTCACCATTACCTGCAGTTCCTAAAAAAGGTCTAAACACCATTAGTTCTTGTCAAAAGAGGAAACAAAAAGTAACTTGATTAGTAAATAGAGTTTGGATTGGAGCCCAGATCTTAAGAGGTGTAAATTGGTGCTCTTTTCACAAGGCTGTACTCTCACATAGGTTTCCAGTTTCCCATCCAACCAGTCCAAATCACAACCTACATCACCATCCCTCTACACATGTCTCACCTCCAATCTCCCTGTGGTTCCTTACTCCACTAACACACAAAAGAGACAGGTCTATCCTCCTACCAACGTCCTTCTCTAAAAACATGTTTCTCTTTACTTTTCACACACACACTCATCATATTTGCACTGTCTCTGATTTTCTACTTTGCACACTGATTTCTGTGAAGAGACGATGCCATGCAGGGCAGAGGAATGAACCCTTAAAACAAAAATCAGAGTCATATTCAAATGCCCATTTTGCCTCTTACAATCTGTGCAATCGTGGTCTTATTACTTAACCTCTTTGTCTCACTTTTCTCATCAGCAAACATAATAATGCCTAACTGAGTTTTAAAAGGCAATTAGCACAACTTCCCTGGTGGTTCAGTAGTTAAGACTCCCAATGCCAGGGACTGGAGTTCCTCTCCTCTCCGCCCCGTCCAAAACTAAGATCCCACATGCGGCACCCGCCCCCACCCCCCCAAAAAAGTAGTTAGCACATGTAAGGTGCTTAACACGGTATTATGTATTAACCTATAAAAGGCACTTTAAAATGGTAGCTATTTGCCGTGAAACTAATATTTGCCTCACAAGACTGTTGTTCCTACATACCTGACACCTAAATTGTTCTTCAAAATATTTTAATTTCCTCCCTTCCCCAGTTTTGAAAAAACTTTCCAATTCTTTCCAACAAAGATTCAGAAACCAGTTCAAATCCAACAAAGATTCATCTGCAAAACTATCTGCACATTTACTAAAATTTCACCGCTTACACAACGGCTTCCCTGGTGGCTCAGTCAGTAAAGTATCCGCCTGCAGTGCAGGAGACCCAGGTTCGATCCCTGGATCGGAAAGATCCCCTGGAGAAAGACATGGCAACTCACTCCAGTACTCTTCCCTGGAGAATCCCTTGAACAGAAGAGCCTGGCGCGCTAAAGTCAATGAATCGGACATGACTGAGCGACTAAACCACCACACAAGAATAACAGAATGACACCTATTTAAAGCTAACCAGACATAATTTCTCCTCTTCTTATGACAGTGGAAGAGAATAATCACACTTTGCAAGTTTCCCCCAAAGACGTGTTGGATAACGCCAATAGATACAAGTTGCTTTCTCTGCGGCAACTGGGTGTCTAAGAGCATTTCCGTTACTGTAGAGCCGGAATAAATAAGTTTGCTGCACCAATCACACAGCTGACGTGAGCGAAGAAAACTTCAGATAATGTCCCATAAATCTCAATAAGGGACTGCAAATAGATGCCACGCAGTGACGTGATCTAGGCAAGTGACGAACACACGCGGATCTGTTTCTGTGACAAGTGGTAACATGTGCCTGCAGATGTCCGCAGGACCGAAAGCACAATCTGGTACGCCGAGATGTCTGATCGCGGACGTATATCCCTTTGAACCCAGCTGCGTAGCAAGTGAGTGCCGATGAGAACCCTCGCGTACCTCTAGGAACTTACCTCTGCGGACGAACAGGTGGAAGCCGCTGGGCGCCGCCATGTTGGCGTCGGTCACGTGGCCACAAACTCGCGCACCTCGCCCCGCCCCGCCCCTCCCGTCCGAGCCTTCCACTAGCCGCCCTGCCAAAAACCAGAGGCGCCGAGGCCGCCGGAGGGGAGCGCGCGTGCGCGCCGGGGGCTGACTGCGGGAGCTCTGGCGGAGGAGCGGCTCGGGCACCCGGGCCAGTAGGGGATCCCGCGGCCGGCCGAGCCCGCTCCCGCCACGAGAGGCGGGCTGCTGCAGCGGTTCGCGCACTCTCTCTGAGCCCCCGCGCCCAGGTGGGATGGAAGAAGCCTGTCAGGTAAGCGTGGTATCCAATATTTGTAGCATCAACATTTTGGTGCATGGAAACGTGAAGTTGGGAGGAAAAAAATAAAGCACAATCTAGCGTTCAACATAGCACTTTGCATCGTCTGCCACGTTGCATATTTTTCCCTGGATTCAGCAGAAAGGTAAAATTTGGTTCAAAGTCACCAGCTGCCTGCCCCCTTGGCTGTCCCAGAATTTACATTACTCAGCAGAGACAACAGACAAGACAGGATCTGTGTGCAGCTGCAAAATCTATTCTGGGTTCCACAGTGGGTATATTCAGGGGACTTCTCTTTCCCCGAGGACACCGCCAGCTCAGTGGTATTAACTGGAGTCTTAATCCTAAATGTGACTTTTAAGAATGAGAGGATGATGTCTGCTAATTGTGCTGCCAAAAGATGAAGTCTTCGGAAGGCCAATTATGAACCAAGTGAGGGAGCGGATGGATCCCTAGTGATGACAGTGCCCATTTTTGACAGATTCACTATTCCTCTTATCTGCATTCTGGGGCAGATTTCCATGCTGTCGCAGAGCAGGTATTATTCATCTTGGTACCCAGCGAAGAACCTGATATTCAAGGAATAAAGGAATGTCTGGTGAAGAAATTGAACTCTGCATGAACACAGTCAAACCAAGAATGTAACAGTTTCCAAATGCAGTGAAGACTGATAAGGATTCTTGGTGAACGTGCGTGATGTCACCTAATTAACGTTTAAGAATGTAATTTAACTACTCAGCGAAAAACCCAGACAGTTCAAAAATGATTTTTTTTTTTAAAAAGGCGTAAATCCCCTTCCTCACCCTGTCTGCACACCACAATCCCACTCTTCAGTCAGCCACTGTGTGCATCATCCCATGCCTTTTACAGGCAAATATGTGTAAATATTTTAAATAGAATCACATACTTATTGTTACAGAATTGCTTTTCCACTCATCAGAAACATCAAATCTTAGAATACTTAGTTAGAACTCATTCTTTTTAATGCCTCCATAGTCCTGATAATTTTACTTTTAAGGAGGGTGAATTTGGGTAGTTCATTAGAGGACACACCTATACTTCTTGGAGACCCAGTTTTGTATGCTTTTGGGTCACCTTGAAAGATAAAGGGGAAAAAAAATGTTTTCCACTGAGGTAGATAAGATGCACAAGGATGAGAATGAAAAATACTCTTCCAGGTAACTTCACATCCCACCTTTTTCAAATGCACATCAGTTCCAAGGAGAGTTTTTTAATGTGGTAATCTGAAGCCAACAACGTGAGTGCAGGAAAGGAACATGAAAGTTAGCAGAGCACCGAGTCTCAAGAAGTGTGCAGAAAAAAGAAACCTAGAAGTCCCTAGAGAAATGTCAGAGGGCATTAAGCCCAATTTCAAACACAGCTGAAATGGAGCACAAGTTCATGTGATTCAGCTCAGCCAATCCTTGGGCTCCCCTGGTGGTTCAGTCAGTAAAGAATCTGCCTGTAGTGCAGGAGACCCAGGTTAGATCCCCGGGTCAGGAAGATCCCCTGGGGAAGGACATGGCAACCCACTCCAGTATTCTTGCCTGGAGAATCCCATGGATAGAAGAGCCTGGCAGTCTTCAGTCCTTGGGGTCATACAGAGTCGGACATGACTGAGCGACTAAACTACCACCAATCCTTGAAAAACAGATGCTTGATTTATATCCCCCTTCAACTAGAAGAATAAAGGAAACGTTATGAGAATCAGGTGGCACCACCATAGTGTAATCCAGTGAGGAAGTCGCCAGTAAATTCAGTGTAGCATGTGGACATCCAGGATGAGCTAGAAATGAAGCAGATATGAACTTGCACAGGTAATAACTTGCCCACTGATTCTTGATTTAGCTTCTTTCATAACATGCTTCTGACATTAGAAAGATTAAGAACTGCCAGCATGTGTCCTCCAAAATCATCAATTTATATAAGATATATGCATACTGATCAACCATATAAAGGGCTAGACTCCTGGCATCTAAGTAAAAGTGGTAGTCATACAGTCATGTTTGACTCCTTGTGACCACTCCTCTGTCCATGGAATTTCTCCAGGGGAATCTTCCCAGCTCAGGGATTGAACCCAGGTCTCCTGCATGGTAGGTGAATTCTTTACTGTCTGTGCCATCAGGGAGGCCCTTTAAAAGATCCCTAGTAGTTCTAACATCTGTGATCCTCGGTATAAGGGCATTAGATTGCTTTCATTTAGATGAGTAACTACTACTGACTCACTTCTCTTCTTTGTTTCTGCCCATCTTTTCTGTGAAATGAAGGTTATGTTGTGGCACTTCATTGATTTGAACTTCCTCCATTTTTCGGATTTTGTATTTCTTGAAAAAAATTGTTGAATAATTTTTCAAAACCAGAGTTCAAGAAATAAAGGGTAACTTCTTAATACCTTCAGTTTCTATATCCAGAAGTTCATTCTCTGATGTTAAAATATCTTTACTGTGATTAATTATTGTTTTATAGGGTTTTGACCTTGTTATTTTTAATTAATTAATTTATTTGGCTGCATCCCGTCTTAGTTGCCACAGGCCAGATCCTCATTGCATCATGCAGGACTTCTCATTGTGTCACGTGGACTCTCTAGCTGTGTCTCAGAGGCTTAGTTGTTCCATGGCATATGGAATCTTAGTTCCTTTCCCTACTACGGATTGAACCCACATCCCCGGCACTGCAAGGCAGATGGATTTTTAACCACTGAACTACCAGGGAAGTCCCATTCCTCGGTTTTTAAAAGGTTATCTTATTAGCATCTTTTTATATCTTTTAATCTTCTTTTATTAAATCAGAAATAAATTCTGATATTCTCATTTTTTTAGTCATTTTTTCCTTCCTCCTTCTTCTACTTAATGATATTTTATTATAGACTTATACTGTATAACTTTTTCAAATACTGTATATAGTTTGTAGCAAAATTGAAATTATTTTGGTTTCCATAATGAAGATACTGACTTTGTGATTCAAATTCGCAATTTAAAAGCCCTAGAGATTTTGCTACCTGAAGTAAATTCCTTTAAAATAATTTTGCTTTGTAAAGACATCATCCTGTAACCGGAGAAGCCAATGGCAGCCCACTCCAGTACTCTTGCCTGGAAAATCCCATGGACGGAGGAGCCTGGTGGGCTGCAGTCCATGGGGTCGCTAAGAGTTGGACACGACTGAGCGACTTCACTTTCACTTTTCACTTTCATGCACTGGAGAAGGAAATGGCAACCCACTCCAGTGTTCTTGCCTGGAGAATCCCAGGGACGGGGGAGCCTGGTGGGCTGCCATCTATGGGATCGCACAGAGTCGGACACGACTGAAGTGACTTAGCAGCAGCAGCATCCTGTAACTTGTCTCCTAGGTTTTTAAATACTTATGAAGATTACCTATAATGCAACATAAAGACTAAGGTATAGAAGCCCTTAGCCCTTACACTAAGGTATATATCTGTAGAGGAAACTTGTTACATACAAACACCTAAGACTAACTGAGACAGTGTGCTGTGTCCTACCCCACACTACAGTGGCTGCTGGGGGAAGCTGGTGTCCTGGGACCTGCATAGCTTCAGTGGGGCTGTCAACCCCAGGTGCCTCCATTCTCCCTGAACTTACTTCCCAGTTTGCCATCTGAAGCAGAAAAATTAGCCTTTTGGTTTTATATCAGGATCGTTTATTAGCATTTTACTCTATGGCTTAGGAAGAATATTTCCCATCCTGCCCTCCAGCGTGTTCAGTTTTAGTGTGAGGAAATGCTTTTATTTATTTACATTTTTCAAAAAGTCAAATGAACATTCTTTCCAAGAACTTGGAGTCCTGCATAAGCATAAGTTGCATATTTAACAGGGACCTGTCTCCGTAGCTGACTGGACCCCCTAAGGTTAAGGTGCAGCTTTGAATGATTATTTATGTTCAGACAGAAAGTTGCTAGGGCACTCTCTTAGCCAACTTGTTGGCAGAATATTGTTTCCTGAACCACTTGAGACAGTGGTAGACATGTTACTGGATAATCTTTGGAGCTTCCCAGGTGGTGCCTATCAATGCAGGAGACCTAAGAGATGTGGGTTCGAGCCCTGGGTTGGGAAGATCCCCTGGAGGAAGACATGGCAACCCTCTCCAGTATTCTTGCCTGGAGAATCCCATGGACAGGGGAGCCTGATGGGCTGTGGTCCACAGGGTCACAAAGAATTGGACACAACTGAAGCAACTTAGCACCCAATCTAGGGGGACCCTTAGAGAAAATGTATAAGTGCTCCCTGTTTTTTTGAGGATAGGTAATGTCATATGCAAGACAGTTACAGGAAATCAAGGGGGTTCCTCCTTGCTGTCTGTGTCCTGCTTCCCTGTCTCTGGCAATGCCTAGAGGAAGCCAGGAGGCAGGGCAGGGGGCTTTAACCATATGTGACCCTCCTGCCCCTCCCATTTTTGATTTGTATAATGACATTTTCTGGATCATATAGTTCCTGGGCAAATGAAACTTTACGTTCCACCCCCTTCCAAGGAGATTGCCTGTGACCCTCCTACATAGAAATTCTGAAGATTCTGTGAATCTACAGCCATTTACAGGCATCATACAAGTGGGCTCAGAGGAGAGCACGTTGCACCCTCCGGAGCAGCCTGTCAGTGTGATTAAGCAGAGAAGAATGGGACCAGAGAGGGCTAACTTAGCTGTCGGGTAAGACCAAACTTTGTCCCCAGGGAGTTGCTCTCAG